TCTGCCATAAGCACCCCAGGGGGCTCTCTCTCCCCTCCAGGGCAATCCAGTGGGGATTTCACTGCACCCTTAGACTGTGTGTGGAGGGACTCCAGGCCCCTCACCTGGGTCCAATGGCCCCAGCCACCAGGCTCAGAGCCCTTTCTATGTGGGAGGTGTTTCTGTGAGTCTCTGCAGTGGAGTGCAGTGGTCAGAGGCCTGTGGTAACATCCTGCCCTGCCTTGTGTTGGCCATGTGGCCTCTCTATCCCTTGGCTTCGCCATCTGTAAAGTGGGCATCTTAACAGCGTGGGACTATGTTCCCCGTGGAGTGTCCAGAATGCGGCCTGCACACAGATAGTGTTAGGGAGTGCCACTATCACAGGCCTCTGCATAACAAATGACTGTCATTCTCCCCCCAGGACAACCAGCCAACAATACACGGCCCCCGCAAGGGCCCCGACTTTCCCTCCAACATAATACCTGCCGGTCAGCTCCCCTTCACACCCTTCATACCTGCTGCTGGTGGGATGCGGTGTGGCAGCTCCCTGTCCTGGGGCCTCCCTCCCAGCTCCACTTCCCACGAGACAGCAGTTGGCCCCGTCAGAGCCTCAGTGCCGTCACCTGTAAGTGGGGGTGACAGAAGCACGCCCATCTCGCGGGTACTTCTCAGGGCTTTAGCGGAATTGCCTCCTGTGGATGACCTGTGGCTGAAGAGCAGACCAGCTCTCGGAGAGAGAGCACCCCCCCCCCCCAAGATCCAGAAGAGCCTTGTCTTGGCCCCTGCAGAGTCTGGAGGCAGAGCCTCTACCTGCATCCCCATCTTGACAGGTGCTTCCATGACCGTGGCAGGACCAAGTCACGTACTAGCAGTTAAATGCTTCTACCCAGAAGGGACACGTGTCACTTCTCCTGACATTTCATTAACCATAATAAGTCACACGGCAGCATTACCCCTCTCCCTGAGGGGGGCAGGGGAGGACAATAATCCTATAGGTGTGTCCAGAAGGAAGAGAAGCAGAATGTGTGGGCAATTCTCCAGAGAACCCCCCCCCCCCCTTATACAGGCACTGTGAATCCCAGTCCACACACATACAGGTGACTTTCTAGAATGCCACTTAATGTCCTACTTAGCCCTATCCTGCTGAGTAGGTGCCTATCCTGCTGAGTAGGTGGAAGATTACACCCCTGTTATTCTTGGGGGCTTTCTGCCTGGTCTGTGGTTCTGGTCAAGTGCCAGCATGTCAGGAGAGAAAAGCTCTAGTGCCATTTGTTATGGGCTGAATTGTGTCCTCCCCAAATTCACATGGGAAAGCCCTAACACCCAGCACCTAGAATGCAACTGTATTTGGAGACAAGGCCTTTAAGAACTGATTAAGTTAAAATAAGGCCATCGGGTGGCCTTTGAAGAAGAGGAAATGTAGGCCCCCAGAAAGGCAGCAGGAATGCGCATGCACAGAGGAAAGGCCATCTGAGGACAGAACAAGCGTGCCAGAGAGAGATTGCCCTCCTGAGAAACCAACTCTGCCCGCACCTTGATCCCAGACTTCCAGCCTCCGGAACTGGGAGAAATAATTATTTTGTTTTAGCCACCCCGTCTGTGGTACTTTGTTACGGCAAGCCCAGCAGGCCGGCACACCAATGGTCCTGTGTTCACACCTGTTATCACTGAGGCCTCCAGTGCTCCTGGCCATGGGGACCTGCAGATTTCGGAGCTTTGCTGTGTCCGTATCACACTTGGGCCAGGAGACCCCTTTGCAGCAGCCAAGGACCCTGTGCCCAGGGTCTTCCTCCCTAAGCTCACAAGGGTACTGTGTTATCTGGAGCCTGGCCTTACCCATGCCTGGGTCCTCAATACTCAGGGACACATAGACCTCACTCCCAAGGGAATCCCCACCTGTTTCTTTCCACCAGCCCCTGCTGCCTTCTGTAGCCCAAGGCATTTGGGACAAAGTCAGGAGCTCATCCACCAGCTGTGGGCTTCCCTGGGCAAGGAAGGACAAGACTAAACTCGCACTGACATGGGAGGGAGTAGAAGGTGAAGTTCAGGAAGGAAAAGACAATCACCATCTCAAAATATTATCCTGTCTCCTGCAAGTGACCCCTTGAGGGGCATGTTCTGATCCTCACATGTTTCCATTAGGGCCAAGTTTGATGTAAACAAGATAGCTTTTCTCTAGGGTTAAAGAAGCCTGTTGGTAGCAGTCCACTGCTGATACAGCAGCACCACCATCACTAGGGACAGGGCTTACTGTTTTGTCTATTTGAGCCTCCTCGATGAATGAGAATGAGCTTCCCCAAGTCACCTCATCATCCAGGATGGCTGCTGGAGAGCCAGTCATCATATCTGCATCCCAGGAAGCAGGAAGGAGAAAGGCAGGAGGACAAAGGGAGCACAGCTCCTAGCTGAGCTAGCTCCCTTTAAGCAGTCTGTGCTAAAGAAAGTTTATCATACTCCTCCTAACATCCCACTGACCAGAACTTAGTCACAAGAGTCACTGCAAAGGGGCAGGGAATGTCTCTTTATATCCAGGTGCTTCCCTGAACCACAAAATATCAGGTGTGGTCACTAAAGGAGGGAAAATAGGTATTACGTGGCAACCAGTCATGTGATACCCTGAGTCACTCGGAGGAACTTGAAGGTCAGAGAGAGGACATGACTTGCCCCCAGTCCACAGCCCGTGAGCAGCAGTGGTAGGGAGGGTAGGACTGGAACTTGGGCCACATACAGTGAACTCCATCACTGTACCAAGGCTTCAGAAACCCCCACTTTCTGGCCACTCTTCGGCATGATGTTTGTTACCATCCAGATATAGCACACAGAATGTGGTCCTAGCAGAACAGAAGTGAGCAGGTCTTTTCAGGAAAATCAAAAATTTGAATGGCAGACAGTGCCGGGAGAAGTTAACACCAGTACAGCCTCTTTGAAGAGCCTGTTGGTTCCGATTAGGTTCAACTGTAAAAGAAAAATCCAAAGGGATTTAAGCCAAGTAGGGACATTTATTTCTCACGCATCCTCAAAAAGTCATCCTAAGCTGGACAGTCCAAGGCAACTGGCACCAGCGTCAGGATACGGGCTCCTCCCACCACATGCCCGCTGGAAGAAAGGCACCGAGCCTAGCCTCTCCACCAGCAAGTCGCATGCGTGCTTGCATCCCATTGGCCAGAATTCAGTCGCATGGCCACACCCACCCGCAGGGCCGCCTGGAAAATGCAGTCTTGTTCCAGGAAGCAGTGTGCCCAGCTTAAAAAAAACTCCGAGATTCTATTACAGTGGAAGAGAAGGGGGACACGCTGGAGGACAGCTATTAGTCTCTGCCGGAAGACGGTAAGACAAAACTAATTAAGACCGTGTGCTCCCGTCATTCCACGTGCGTGAGTTACCGGAAGCATATTTATAAGGATGTTTGTCACTGCATTGTCTGTTGTTGCAAAACGTATCGGGAACAAAAATCCATCCCAATGGGACTGGTTAAATAAATTGCCATATATCCGTAATGTATGCAGCTGCCGGAGTGAAACCGCTCCGCCACCTGACACGGAACCATCCGAAGAACAAGTGTGAAGTGAAGAAAAAACCGACAGAACGTCTACGTTCCCGGAACAGGGGTAATGTGCATACACATGTGTGAACACACATAGGCACTCGGGCACTCGGGCGGGCAGCGAGGCCCCTGGCCTTGGCGGTGCTTCTGGGGCAGGGATGGGGAAAGCGAATGCCACCGCAGGGAGGAGATTCATGCTCCACTGTGCACCTCCCTGCACCACGTGAACTTTTCTTTGCCATGTGCATGTTACCTATTAAAAAACAACTTTAAGATGAGAACAAAAAGGCAGCAGGCTTCTAGCCTCTTTTCTTCTGTGGGTGCCTCCCCGTCGACAGGGCTGTTTGCTTAGGTATCGCACTGAGCAAACCCAGGCTGTCACTCTGGCCTCTCGGACGGCACAGGCGTCCCAGGCCGCTGGTACTGAGTGCGGCTCTGGAATGGCCTGTCCAGGCCTCCCTACCCGGCCCCCAACACTTGTCCTGCTTGGAATGCCCTGCAGCCCTCCTGCCCCCGCCCACCATCTTCCAGGAAAGCTCTGAGAAGGAACCTCCTGGCCCACTGACAGCCCTCTGGGCCCTGGATCCTAGGGAGAATGGCACATTGGCCCCACAGTCACAAGCCATGTTGGAGTTAGTGCCCTTGGTGTCCTGCCACGCAAGAGGGCTGGCAATGCAGGCAGGTGCCAGGCCTGAGCCTCAGCACCGTGGCCCCACTGAGACTCCCTCCTCTCTGGCGGTGGGAATGACATAACTGTCAACGCCCTTTTTCTCCAGCTGCCCGAAGACTCAAGGCCAAGCTTAGGTACAACGGCAGTGACATGGACACACGGCACCTCTCTCCTCTTGTTTACAGCTTGCTTTATTCTGACTTAGCCCCATGTTTAGCTTATCACATCGATTCTGATCATGTCAGTCCCTGTCATCGTACCTTCTGAGTGCCTACTATGTGGCAAGCACTACTCTAGGGGTTAAAAACAATCGAGTTATCGCTACTGCTCCATAAGCATCTACCAGCCCTTCACTACTTCCTAATCCTTATAGCAGCCCCTGCCAAGACAGGCCTCCTTATCCCCATTTCATGGATGGCGAGCTGGAGCTAGGGGAGGGGAAGCGGCCAGTCCAGGAGGGCAGAGCAGAAGGCACAGAGAAAGGACGGGACCTGCAGGGCTCACTCCAAACCCCATGCTCCGCAACCGGGTGGGGAAACAGCTGCTCACAGAACCATAGTTCCCTTTCCACGTCCCTCTTGTCTGCTCGGACAAGCGCCTGGGACACGGAGCACTGGGATCCGATTGCCCCCCACTTCCCCAGCAGCCAGCCTAGGGCCTGGGCACTGGCCAGTGTTTCTCCGTTGAGCAAAAGGAGCCCAGAGCCTCCCAGGGCTCGGGACGCAGAGGGACCTGCCAGGACCTCTGATTGTCGCAGGTTCTCACCCCAGCCCTCGGGCTCCTAAGAGGAACCTCCACAGCCGCACCTTCTGCTCCTTTTGTTTTTTATTAAAAAATAGATCAAGAAAATATACACACTTCAGCCCACCCACCAGAGTGGGCTTTGAGGAGGCCAAAGCGCCATGGGGAAGAGGCAGAGGGATGAGAAGGGCCAGACCGGCCCTGGGTGCCCAGGCTTTGGAGAAAGGAGGTGCCCTCAGCCAGCCTAGCCAGGCCTGGCCCTGAGAGATCAGAGTCTGGGCCATGTTGCTGAGCAGGGAGAGGGCAGGTGGAAGTGGAAGGGGGAAGCAGCCCCCAGCTAGAGCAGAGGTGGCCAGAGGCAACCGGAGGCACAGAAGGCGAGACAGGGCCTGCGTGGGGCTGCTGCCCAGAAGGTCCCGTGACCTCATCCTCCTCCCCCAGCGACTTGGCACTCCCTGGTCTTCTCTCCAGCCTGGCCTGCACAGGCCCCAGCAGGCCTCCCGGCCACGGTGGTCACACTCAGGCACTGACAACCTTCCAGCGCTCACTGTCTGTGCTGTTGATGCTGCCCGTGTGGCAGGGCATGGACGCAACGTCGTCCAGGCAGGCTGCCCCGCCGGCCGAGTCAAACTGTGTGCTCGCAGCCCCTGCTGTCTCGGGGCCTCCCCGCCGGGCCACGGCGTAGGGCTGGGGCAGGTGCACGTCCGGTTCCTCGGCCTCGTCCGCTTGGCATTTGTAGGAGAAGAGGATCTTGGGCTCCGAGCTGGTGGGGAGGGGAGAGAGGCAGGGGAGCCCCACTGTTTGGTTAGGAAGGCTTCCTTCTCTGAACAAGGCTTGCGGCCTAACGGCCACCCCAGGAGGTCCCCAAAGCTTGGACTCTGGAGTCCAGTGGGACTTGTTTTAAAACTCAGCCCACGTGTGAGCTCGGACAAGGATAAATTTCTCACTTGCCTGTTTCTCACTGTAAAATGGGTATAACTCTGACCTCGAGAAGCTCTTAGCAGAGGGTAAACAGAGGTAAATTCTGGCCTGAGGTGCTCAGCAAACACCAGCTGCAACCTCCACCCTTGCAGCTTTTATGACCACCTACTTTGCACTTACTTAGTCCCTCAATCCTCAGGATAACTCTGACAGGGAAGCGCTGTACCCAATTTACAAAAAGGAGCCCAAGGCCAGAGACATAAATGCATGTACAAGATCCCACACAGATCAGGGCTGGGCTGAGAGCCAGTCTAGCCCCTCTCACCCCACCTCTGATGCCCTCTCCCGGCATTCCCCCCATCAGATCCCCCGCACCTCCTCGGACCCAGCACTTCTGCCACATCAGGGACCCAGGATCCAACCCTCAATCCCCCAAGCCCTTAGCATCTCATCTCCCTGCCACGCCTCCAAACACACACGGGCACCAACGTGCACCTCACACTATGCTCCACTACACGCCCGCCTCCCGCAACCCTGCTTCTCTCCCCGGCCACTCCCAGCTAGAATCCGTGAGCGTGGTGATTTGTGTCTTCTTTGTTCCCTGTTGTGTGTGGCAGCTGCAGCAGTGCCCAACACCTAGTAGGTGCTCAATGAATGCTTGCTGAAAGAGTGAGCCAAGCATTCTAAAATGAAAAGCAAGCCAGTGTAGAACCATGTGCATAGACACTCTCTTGTGGGGAAAGTGTATATATATATGTGTGTGTTGCATATAAAATGTGTATATGTATGTAGGTGTACGCATGTGTGCATATGTATATATGTGTGTATGCACGTGTAAGTACAGACATACACACTTCATCTGCCTCATCCTTCCCAGTGTCCAAGCCTGAACTGGGAGGAGGGAGAAGCAGGACCCTGAGGCTGAGGATGCGCATGCGCAGGGAGCTGGAGGCGCAGTTCCATAGGCAGCCACGCGGGGGCGCCCGCGGCCCTCAATCCACCAGCCGCTGGGTGGCAAGCCAGGCACCAGCTACCACCCCTGTCCCACGCCCCCTACCTACCCGCGCCGCCCCCGGCTCCCCGCGCCCCCCATCCCCGTGGGAAGACTCACCCAAAGAAGCCCCGGAGGAAGGCCACGTAGATGAGGGGCGCAAAGAAGCTGAAGTAGAGAAATGTGGTGGCATCTACACAGCTGGGGGGCAGGAGGAGCGGGTCAGGGAGGGGCCCCCTCTGGATGGGACCTGGGCTTAGCCTCCCCCTGTGCGCCGCTCCCACTCAGGCCTCGCCCCACACCCGAGCCAGCGGACACCCCGTGCCCCGCCCCACCTACCAGAGCCCCTCGATGATGTCGGCGCAGAGTAGCGCGCTTCCCAGCCCCTGCAGCAGGTTGAGCAGCGCCAGGATGCCCGCATACACGTAGAAACTCCTTCGCGCTGGGGGGTTGGGGACTGTGAGGCCCTGCCCTTGCCTCCGCCCTTCATCCCCAGCGTGTCACCTGAGCCCTTTGGGCCCCCAGGAGGACCCCTCCCTCTCACCAAGGGCTCTCCAGCAGGAGAGTCACAGTTGCCCAAACAGACCCTGCCCTGCACCCAGCCCTGTGCCAGAGCCACCCACCAGCTGCTTACAAGGCAGGGAGATGCGCTCCTTCAGCGGGGTCTTGGGGAGCACAACCACCAGAGAGTAGACCTGCAGAGACAGAGCAGGACTGAGAAGGATGCTGGGCACACCAGGCCCAGAGCTAAGCCCAGGACCAAGACACCCAGGCCCGCCTCAGGCTCTAGGTTCATGTGGCCACCCCCAGGGTGCCAAGACCCAGAAAGGGGTGGGGGCACCCTAAGCCTCACCAGGAAGAAGAAGCAGGAGCTGACCAGCCAGAACTGGCGGCCCCCATGCCCATAGATGTTGAAGTCCTCAGCCGACAGGTGGGCGTCAGGGTACAGGATCTCCAGTGTCCCCTGCAGGGGCAGGCAGGGGAGGGCCTCAGTATCCTGCCACATGGAAAGCCCCCTCCTAGGGGGCTCCCTGATACAAAGTACCCAGAACCCTCCACCACACCAAGCCCAGCTCCCCAGCCTGGCCTTCAGAGTTCCCTGTTCGGACTGCTCCCTGGCCTTGCCCTGCTCCCTACCCACCTAGCTCCAACACCCGGAGCAGGCTCCTAAGGAAGGAGCCTCTAGATGTGCAGCTCTGTGTGTGGTCTGCAAACCTGTATGTGCCCTACCTGGGCTGCTTGTTACAACAGCAGGTTCTAAGCATCCTCCACGTTCCCACCCCAGCCTGAAATTGGAAGTGGATTGGAATGGTGGGGAGGGCGGGAAGAACCTGCCTTGTAAACAAGCACCCCAGGTGATTCCTTAGGCACATTTAAAGTTTGAGAACACTGCACCTAATAAACGTTTAAACCTGGACCCAGAACCAGGGAGCAGGGGATGCTTGGCCTTCAGTGACCCCTGGCCTCCTCCAGGGGGACCCCAGAGCTGTACCTGCCCCACTTCCCCTCTTACCTGGGTGACAGAGTAGGCCAGGGACAGCACCGTGGTGATGGCCAGCACCCGCTTGATGCTTGACTTGCTCTCCAGGTGACCTGGAAGAAACGTGCTGGTCAGTCAGCGGGAGCCAGCCGGGTGACCGTGGTGGGGTTGGTGCCCGCTAGGGAGGGACAGGGAGAGCGCTGGCCGAGCAGCACACGCACCAAAGGCAAGGCCCAGGATGACCACACTCAGCTCGATGGCCAACAGGAAGAAGCGGGTAATCTCCCACAGGATCTGGACACAGAGCGGGCAGAGTGTCAGCCTGGGGGCCCAGTCACCCCTCTCCCCAGCGCCCAGCATCCCCCCCGCCCTTGTTGGCAGGCCCAGCCACACCTTATCGGCAACAGTCGCAGCATCCGAGGTGCTGACCGTCATGGACACCACGGCCCGGGCGATGCCCACCAGCGCCACCACGAACACCTGGTGGGGCGAGAGTGGGGATGCCATGATGGGGTCAGGGAACAAGACCTCTGCGAGTTGCAGGGCCTCTGCAGGAGCCTTGGATTCTTTGAGAACAGAAGGATTCCAAACCAGAAGAGTCAGGAGTGGGATGCAGGGAGGTGGGGAGATCCTCCACTGCCGGTAACCTCCGCCTGGCCTTTCCCTCTCGGGCCTCAGTTTCCTGGCTACACCGGCAGCCTTGGAATGGCTAATAGGGGTAACGTGGTGGAGCCCCACTGCCAGGATCGAATGCCAGCCCTGCTGCTTCCTGCCTCTGTGACCTCGGCCGAGGAGCTACACCTCCATGCCTCAGTTTCCTCATCTATGAAAGGGGGTAAAACTAGCACCTACTGTATTTGATGGTTGGGAGGAGCAAATGGATAAATCAATGTAGCAGAAGTGAGCCTGGCACCCAGTAAGGGCTAGGTACACATTTGCCTTTAGCTTCGTCTTATTAGAGCTTTTAATCCCAAGCCATGGGGGGAAGGAGGCTGCAGGGAAGAGACCCTGACCCTGGGGAAGGCTGCTGCCCCAGCACGTCTTGCAGAAGTGCCTGTGCTCAGCATCGACGGATTTTGTCATCCGGTATCCACTCTTCCTCTGGCAACAGCCTCCTTCCTCTCACATGGCTTGGGGTGGGGGGGTGGGGGGCCTGCCCCCCCGCCCCGGCTTCAGGGATGGGCCTGTAACCCAGGGCTAGCCATTCGGCACATGCCATTCCCTGATTTGGGGATGGGGGTGGGACCCAAGGGAGTCTAGTGACAGGCACAGCCAGGACACCAAGCGCAGCCACTGGGAAAGGAAGCTGGGGGGAGGCAGGGTTGCAAGCCTGGAGATGCTGGGGCTGCCTGGCTCCATGAACATGAGACTGCGAGAGACAGGACCATTGGAGAAACCCCAGCTGAGAAGGACACTGAGACTGTGCCCCCACGGCTTTGTGGAGCCCCTGAATCCAGCCATGCCTGAAGCCCTGGGACTTGTCAGTTTCTCCATTAATACATTCCCTCCAGCTTCTGTGAGTTCACTTTGGTTTTCTGACATATGCAAACAGAAGAGTCCAGATCCATGCACAGTCTGTCCTTTGTGCCACAAAAATCATATGGAACCCTTGGGGAGACTGACACCACTCAACAGGGCAGGCTATAGAAGCAACAAACTGCCATGTGCCTACTGCATACCAGGCTGCCACCAGGCTAGAGCTATGCACGCTGTCTTCTCCGGTGCTCACAGGACTGCCGCAAGCTAAAGCAGGCCCAGCACACATGGTGTGGGAAGGGGGCCACCGAGGCACAGAGAGGCCAAGCCACCAGCCCAAGGTCATCCAGCACAGCCGGTGCTCACCACTGTCTCCTGAGCTCTCTAGAAAGAAGTCCCCGGGAATAAGAGGGCAGGGGCAGTGCTGAGTCTCCTGGCCCTGCCTCATGCTCCCAGGCCTTGGCCCTGGGTCCCTTCTCCCCTCATGCTCCCCCAGAAAGGGCATCTGCCTGCCTGCTTATCTGTTCAATAAATATAGTAACGAGTCAGAGAAGCAGTGGGAGAGAGAAGAAAGCAGGCCTCAAGGCCCACCCCTGCCCACCACCAACTCTCGGGGGCGGGGGCTCTGATCAGCCGGCAGCCCCTGGGGCCTCCACCAGCAGCCTCCAGGGGTTCCCCACAGCCTCTCCTGCCCCTGCCTGCCCACTGGCAACTCCTCTGACTGTGAAGTTCTGAGCCAGGCCACAAAGAGGGGGCCCAAGGAGCCACTCAGCTCTCAGGGAGTGGTAACTAAGAGGCAGAAGAGGGGAGGACTCCAGTCAGTCAGGCCGGAGCCCTGAAGAACGGGAGCTGGACAGTCTGCACCCGGAACCCACATCTGGAGCCCATACCCGGGGCCGCCTTCCCAACCGCAGCCCTACTACCTCTCCCAGGCAGCCCACACCAGTTCCACTGAATGATGAGAACTCGGGGTCTCCCGACAGGCAGGAAGTCTGCTCCAAAGAGGTCTCACAGAACCCAACGGGGATGGACGGCTGGATGGACAGACAGACAGATGGAGGTGGCAGTGGGCATTTCTTCCACCAGCCAGCATCTCTTCCCCTGCCCTCTACGAACGGCTCCCCAGTTTTCCTCCAGGGACCACCACCCTCCTCAGTCTACAGAGCCTGGCTGAGTTGACCCTACCCTCCTAGCCTCAGAGTGCCCCCTCCCAGCTATTCACAGTGACTGGCTCAGGGACCAACAGGGGATCCAAGGTGGGCCGGTCAGAGGGAGTCCCAGGTCTACACTAGCACTACTCCTCTTTGGCTGGTATTGGCAGGGAGGCAGGATGTTAGCTCACAGCTGCTCTTGGCTATTTTTGACACCAGGCAAGGGAGAGCATATCTGAGACAAGGCCAGAGGAGAGCAGACAGGCAGAGAGACAGAGTCCTAATGGTGTCCATCTACCCCTGGATCCAGCCACGTCTGAAGCTGGTTTTCATTACAGAAGCAGTTAATAATTCCCTTTTTCACTTAAGCCAGTTGGAGTGAACTCACCAGGATATAGAAGGTGATAAAAATGGGGCTGGAGGTGATGCGGATCTTGGCCCGAGCGAATGGAAGCTTCCAGAGCAGGAAGATGAAGAAGAGCACATTGGGGATGAGCAGCAAGAGGTCCCAGTACCGGACCCTAGCAGATGGGTACAGAAACCAGCCGACTGGTAAGGTTCTGTCTGCGACCCCTCGGCCCTGCCCCCCATCACACACGTACGCACGCACGCACGCACGCACGCACGGGGGAGACCCCCTCAGGGCCACGGCCTGCCTCACCTGGAGGTTCCGATATCCTCATAGAGCAGCAGCAGACAGCGATGCGGCACGCTGATGTTGGGGGCCGCGGGTGGGGGCGGGGCTGTGCTCCCGTTGGCCCAAATCACCCCTTCCAGGATGCCCATCCCGCCAGCAGCCGGCCCTGGAGGAGTGAAAGCCCCCATGTGAGCAGCGCAGGGCCTTGGTCTCTGGTCTCAGGGACCCAAGAGCAGCTCCCTACAGTGGGCCTGCGGACCACTCTCCCACCCACCAGGCGGAGGGTGAGGTGTGGCCCCCCCACATGCCACAACACAACGCCGGGACAGGGGCCCAGTCCCCCGCCTCAGCCTCTGTCTCATGACCCACACACAGGAAATGCCACTCCCAGTGATTGAGCCTTACACTGTGCCAGGTACAGCAAAGTAAGCTACTCGGCATGACCCCAGCTCATCGCCCCGATCCTGGGGGTCCTGGGGATAGACAGGGAGCAGAAGGGCAAGGAGCCAGGGTCCCCCTGCCCCTGGAATGGGCCTAACAACAGCGTCCACCCTGGGAGGCTGTGGTGGGCACTGATGTCTAGCGCCTCCTACAGCCCATGCACGCACAGTCCGGAGTCCTTGGCGCAAGGCCCACTGGAGGCCCAGTGACTGACACTGACGGTGTGCAATCACACAGCCACCGAGCCCCAGAGTGGGGCATCACGCACAACTCAGGCAGACCACACCGCTTGTCATCCTCTGCTGCCACCTTGGAAAGGGAGACGCAAATCGGAGGGACATGCACTGTGCCAGGAAGACGCACGGAGGTCTCTAAGTAGAGAAGGGGAGGGAAGGAGAGGCACGGCAGAGGGGGCCACTGTGGGGAGGGGGGCCACTGCAGAGGGAGCTGTGTCTGCAAAGGCAGGGGTGGGGGGCTGCGAGGGGAAATGAGAATCAGCAGGGGAGCCCACAGCCAAGCGCCTCCAAATGAGAGGTTAGGAGTCCAGCCTAGAAGACAGGAGAGCTGGTGGCCTGGGGCCCTGGGAGCCACCCTGGACAAGGCGGGCTCCCAGGTCTCTGGGCTCTCAGGGACAGGAGCAGAGGAGTGGGGCCCACACTGACAGCAGCAGGGACTTCCTCAGGGAGCTCAGGGGGTGCAGGGCAGGTGAGCGAGGCGTGGCCTGGGCACCAGGACATAACAGATGCCAGCATTAAAATGATGACTGGGACAGATGAGGCCTTATGACCTAGAGTCTTCACTTCTGGGTACATTTGTAACAGCCCCAGGCTAGCAATGGTCCAGAGGCCCACCATCAGCAGTACGCACACGTACGTGGTGGCGCTCACATACACAGTGAAAGAGAAAGAACAGGCTACTGCTATGGGCAGCAACAGGAAAGGGCCTCACAGATATGGGGCTGAGCGGGGCCAGTTACAAATGCACGTGTGCGGCCTGACCCCACACAAAGATCCAGGTGAGGGTCACCTTTGTGGAGGATGGAGGGCATAGTGGGGGGTGGGGAACACCAGTTTCTGGTGCTTGATTGGGGGGGTAACAGGTGTGCTCACCATGGCAAAATTTATTGAGTCACCCACCTATGATCTGTGCACTCTTCTGTATGGGTTACACATCAGTAAGTTTTAAAAAATTAGAAAGATGTGTTCTGTTTACACTCCACGAGCGCAGGTCTCCCATTCAGCAAGGAGCAGCCTGGGCCGCTGAGCACCCTGTTGCAAGGATCTGCAAATGCCACAGGCAGCCATGCTTGTGCTGTCACTAACACGAGCCCTGAGCAGCAACAGGTGCAGGGCAAGGGCTGCAGGGGCATCCTTGCTACCATTCCAAGCCACGAAACGTGAGCGCTGCCTCTGATTGAAAGGGAGAGGAGACTGAAGCAGATGGGCTGAGACCTGGGGCTCAGGCTCCTCCGTCCTTCTCCTCAACAGGCCACTCGCTGGCTCTGGGATCACATCCCCATCTGCAGCTTGAGGCCAAACCAACAGGGAAAACATATGCCCAACACATAGTAGGTCTGAAGGAAGGATGCATTCTTCATACATATTCTTCCACCAGTGGCAACAACACTTACTGTGAGCGAGGGATGAGTCTGGGGGCTGGGACACACCTGCCCTCCCAGGGCCGTCATTCCAGGAGGGGAGCCAGGCAGCCAGCATGAAAACCATGCTAACAGAGGAGTGGAACTGAACAACGGGTAACACAATAGAGACTACCAGGGTCCTCAACATCCACCCTTCCGTTTAGTACTGGAGCCCATGGATTTTAGTGCACACATGGCTTCCCAGGATAATGGCTATTTTCCGAGCTTCCCTGGCCACTGGCTAAGGCCACATGACCAAGTTTTATCCAATCGGAAATGAGCAGTGAATTTAATGGGTTGGTCAGTTTCAGGCTGAGCAATCTCCTTTCCTACTGCCTGGTACAGGGATGTGCTGGCAGGAACAACAGTAGCCATCTTAGACCACAAAACTGAAACCATGTGTTGAGGATAAGAGAGAAATGAGAAGTGTCTGGGTCCCAGCCCTTGCCAGTGGGCCTCCAGGCATATCCTGGACAGCGTGCACACAGACTACCATGCAATATGCAGGAATAATCTTCTATCTTGTTATCCTGACCTTTGTTTCAACAGCTAAGCCAGAATCCCAATGAATATAAAGAGGTACTGCTTTGGACTGGATTGTCAGACAAGCTGACATTTGCACTAGGTCTAAATAATTGAGAAGGAACCAGGCTTGGAAAAATCTGGACAAAGAGCACACCGGGGAGAGAACAGTGAATGCAAATGCCACGAGGTATAAACAGGCTTGGCCTGTTCAAAGGGCAAGAAGCAGGCCAGTGTGGCTGGCGGGGAGATCAGAAAGGTTGGCAGGGCCAGGCCACACGGGACCATATGACCACATGCAATGTGATTGCATTCTGAACGCTATGAGAAGGGTGTCACAAAGGCAGGTGACGGGGTCCCATGTCCACGTGGAGAGGACCGCTCAGGCTGCTGGGGAACACGAACTGGAGCAGGGCAAGAGTGGAGGCAGGTAGACTGAGGAGCCACTGTACCAGTGGTTGTAGTGGGGGTGGAGTGGAGGGATCTGGGATACCTTGGGGAGGGTCAGCCAACCTGAGCTGCCCAGAGACACCCCCAGAGAATGCGGGAAGAACAAGGATGTGGTAGCTTCTGGCCTGGCCACTGGATATTTTGTAACAGCTAGGCCAATGCTACAAATGTGTCCCCACCAAACACTGCCCCCTTCTCCCTAGCTATCAAGGTACAACTTTATTCCAGCACCCCTCCGTGATGCCCTGCCGCACAGGCAGGGGCCCCTCCCCTGGGCCAGAAGCTGAATCGCAACTACGGTACTAGGGGCCTTGGGGTAGGGGCAGTGTGGAACAGTACCGGACACCTCAGCAGTGCACAGGGGTGCTCCAGTTTGACACGGGGACGATGGGGGTGGGGTGCTATGATTTTTCGTGGACAGAGTCCAAGGCTGCCACATGTCCTGCAACATGTGGGACAGTCCACCAAATGAATGATCGTCTTCGTCTTTGCCAAGAGTGCCCTGAAGGGAGGCTCTGGTCAATGTCAGGAAGGGTGTTCTCCTTGCTGGGGGCAAGTTTAAGCAAGGGCACATGATGAAATATGGGTGAAGTCTCCCAAGAAACGTCTTCCTTGCTGACCATCAAGACACCTTCCAGGAGGGCGCCTAGGTGGCTCAGTTGGTTGAGCGACTGCCTGCGGCTCAGGTCATGATCCTGGAGTCCCTGGATCGAGTCCCGCATCGGGCTCCCTGCTCGGCGAGGAGCCTGCTTCTCCCTCTAACCCTCCCCCCTCTCATATACTTTCTCGCTCTCTCAAATAAATAAATCTTTAAAAAAGACACCCTCCAGGAGGAAAGCCCCTTCTTTGCACCTGCATGTGGCCGTTGAGGGTCTGCTGTGTGAATGTGGCCATGCTGAGCACCGGGCGTTACAGCTGGCAGGGGTATGTGCCACCCCCCTCAAGACTTCTGCTTGAGAAGGATAAAAGGATGACTGGTAAGTGACTAGAGCTGAAGGAGAGAGATTCCACCGCCCCCTCTGCCCCAATCACCATTCCTTGTGGAGCGAACTTCTGGTCCCAGCAGCCCAATACCAGCTCTGGCCTAGGACGCGGTATCAAGCGACCCCAGAAGGGGCGGGCCCCGGAGAGCAGGCCAAGCACCCAGCTGCTGCTGAGAAGTTGAGAGGTCCCTTGTGGCAAAAAGAAGCCAGTGAGGATGACCAGGGCCCAGCAGCAGGAAGAATCAGATTGAGAGTCTGAAGGGGGAAGCATCCCTTGGTTTTGCCTGTCTGGCACCCCATTTCTCTGAGGGGGGAATCTCAGCTCCCCCAGTCTCTGTCCATGAAGTTGAGGTACAGCCGACTCAAGCCCTTCAAAATTCCACAGAGTGTGCACGTGATCTAAGCCTGGCCAATCAGGATACTCCACTGTTCTGACCAATGAGCATCAGCCTGGAGACTTTTGCTGTAATTGTTAAAACAGATACGTTTTCTGCTAAAAGTGTCATGGTACTATACAGAGCTGGACCACTTTGACCCCACACATGGCTACCCACCTGAGAATAAAGCCAACACAGAGGAATGTAGAGCTGAGAGAGATGGAACTCCATCTCAGGAGACAGAGCCCCATGTGAGCTCCTGGATCTAGCCACACCTGAAGTTAGTGCAACCCCTGGACTTTCTTTTTAGGTATAAAATCCAACAAATTCCCTCCTCTACTTAGGTCCGGTTGAGTCTGATTTCTCTAATTCACTAATGAAAACCTTCTCGCTGACATGGGTTATGGAGCCAGGCAGCTCTGGGTTGCACTTCTGGCTCTGCCACGTACTTGCTATGTGACCTTGAGTGAGTCATTTCTCCTCTTGGAGTGTCACAGGGATAATAACACCTACCCAACAAAGTTGCCCAGAGGATCAAACAGGAACAGAGAAGTAAATGCCTACAAAAGGTCACACCAAGGTAACTGCTGCTTTTTTTCCCAGAGGAGGGCCTGGGGGGTGTAGAGGGAAGAAGGGTTTGGTTCCGAGTGCAAGGGCCCCTTTTGAAGAAGAGTACCGACTGCCCTCCCCCCACCAGTGCCTCTGCGGACTCGGTGACAGCGGCAGACATACTCGCTGAGCCCTCCCAGCCGGACGAGGAAAGTACTTCTGTTACCCCCGCGGACAAAGCTCGGGGCCCGCCAGCCACCTGCCAGGCTGTCTGTCTCTAGTGTCCAGGCCCCCAAGTGGCGACTTGCCAAGTGCCCCTCTCTGGGAGTCAGTTGCTCCACCTATAGATGGAAGGCTCTGGGCTCCATCTAGAGCTATGCTTTGCACACCTGAGTGTTGTGAACGTGCAGATTCTGATTCAGCAGGCCTAGGCCAGGGCTGATGGGCCACATTGCTAATAGGATCCCAGCTGGTGCCTGTTCTCTGCTGGTCAGAGAAGCACTGTTGGCCATACCAGAATTGCCACTATGTGTCAGACCTTGTAAAATAACTGAAGCAATGATAAAAAATAAAACAGTGCACACTACCTGCAGACATAGGACTAAGTGCTTTACATGTAGTACACTCTTAACTATCACACCAGCCTCTGCATGAGAAGAACTACTCTTGTGCCCATTGTACAGAGGGGGAAAGGAAAGGCACAAGAGGGTTAAGTCACTGGCCCCATATTCTCCTCCCCCCACCTCAGGCAAGCTCCTGGGCATGGGGGCAGAAGCCTGGGCAGTGACAGAGAACTAAGAGGTCTGCAGGCTCAGGAAATGGGGGACAGATGATGGGACAGGGGACAGTGGGAAGGCTGGCTGAGGGCAGGGAGAAGGGGTAGAGCCCAGACTCGAGGGATGGGGAAGGGAAATTCTCAGAGGAGTTTCCAGGATGCTGAGTGGCCTAAGGCAACCCCAGACCTCTCCAGACCAGGGAAACTAGGACAGACTGTTTCTTTCACCTGGGAGGGACTTTCCTGACCTTGTTAACATTCCAGAGGCCATCTTCCCACCCACCAGTTGGGCCTCCAGCTCCCTCCCACCCTCCCTCTGTAGCCAGCCTATGGGGCAGGATGCCAGGCTGGCGCCAGTCATGCAGTGCCAGACCTGCAATGAGCCCCTGGAGAGGATCTTCCCTTCTGTGGGCCTCAGCTTTCCCATCTCTCATCTGTGCAATGGGATTGACCAGGCCTGGATGAAAAACCCCAGGGGAGACAGAAAGCCCTGAGCAAAAGAGAGAGGCTATATACTTCATAGTTGCTGTAACACCCCTCAGTGCTTCTGACCCCTAGCAGATTGTTGAGCTTCTAAACCCTGGAACCAAAACAGATTAAGAAGGCTCCATAGGCCCGAGGCCAGCCCTTCATCCTTAACCCTTGAGGCTGGGGGGAGGTGGACGCTGTCCCAGACAGGCCACTCCTGGTACACTGCCAGCAGCCCAGGCAGGAGCCCCCAGGACGAAGGGAAGCCCCCCCCAGTCTGGCCCCTGCCTGCTGCTCTGCCTCAGGCCTTCCGTCCCCCAGCCTCTGGCTTCCACCTTGTTCTCCAAGCTGCTAAGCGTCCTCCTACCTCAGGGCCTTTGTGCTGGCCCTTCTGCCAGTCTCATCATTCAGGGGGCCTCCTCAGAGCCCTCCTTAACCATCTCTCTCGGCTAGCCCGCCCTGTGTTTTCTTTACAGCACTTGGCCTCCATCTGAAGTGAGTGGCCCTAGCTGGGTGTTTGTGTTTACTGGCTGCCCACCCCAGGCTGCTCATGACCCAATCCCCTAGAATAGTGCCTGGCACAGAATAAGTTCTCAATAAATGTTATAATGTGGACAGATGAATCTCTAGAGAGTGCAGCCAAGCCCTTCGGGGGAGCAGGAGAAGGATCGCCCCGGAGGACCCCCAGCCCCATCCCTACCACAGAGGCAGAAGGCAAAGTCACTCTCCACCCTCCTTCCCCTGCGGAGCCTCCCAGAAGGCCCCTCCTGCAACAGCAGCCCCAGCCGCATAAACAACACCTCCTGCCCCTCTCCGGCTGCTGAAGGCCACGGCAAAGTTGGAGGCAGGTCCTGCCCCACTGTAGACGGGGACAAGGCCCAGATGCAGGGCCACAGCCTAGATCTCTTCCTGCACAGCCTCAAGCCACAGGGTCCACCAGCCCTGCTAACTGGCCAGTCCGAGCCCCGTGCAGCTATATGGGTGTGCTCACTCCCCCTCCCCGAGCGCTCTGCCACCCCCATCCCCTCCGGGCCTCCCAATTACCCGTCGCCTCTCCCTTTGAGTCCTCACCCAGGGGCCCCTTGGCCCTCTGAAACTTCCCCAAGGGGGGTCCTCTGAGGCTGCGCCCTGAGCGGGAAGGGTTCACTCCCGGAGGAAGGGGCAGCGACAGGTGGGCCCCGGTCCAGCTGTGGGGATGCCGGCTCTCCCGCAGCTGTCTCGGGGAGTCACTAGATGCACCCGGGCTCTGGGAGCTCCCTGCCGGGGAGGGCCTGTAGGTGCAGCGGAGGCCAGGGGGCGTCCCTGGAGCGGTGGTCCCAGCCGCGGCAGAGAGAGAGCCCCGTGGTCGGGCTTCAGGACGCGCGGCGACGGGGCTCCCCTTCCAGGTGTGGCGGGATAAGGTCCCCTTCTTACCTGAGGGCCCCGGGCCGTGCTCAGGCCCCGCCGCCCGGGCCGCTCATCCGCCACCGCAGAGTGCGCCGCCGACCCGGCACAGGCCCCGGGACTCCGGTCTCCAGCCTCCAGCGCCCGGGGCGGGCGGCGGGGCCAGGGAGCGTCGCGCAAGAGCCGCCGGCAGCCGGCTCCGCAGGAATCGGGGGACGGCGGGAAAGGGAAAACGCGGTCAGCGCGCCGGGCCCACCGGCCCCCAGGACGGCATGCAGCCTTTCCCGGCAGCGGCGACCAGAAGGCAGGCGCGTCCTTTTCGTTCGGTCAAAACTGCGAAAACAGCCACAGCCCCTACTTATAGCACTCAGGCCCGCCCCCAGGCCCCAGTAGCCTATAGAAATGGAGGTACACCAAAAAGAGGGCGCAAGCCGCGGAAGAAGCCAATCAGATCCCTAAGAGGCGGGGCGACCCGCTGACCTCTTAAAGAGACAGGAAGCGGGCACTGCGGGGGAGGGAAGCAGCTTCGGGGTAGGGAGGCTGCTGCGTACCTTAGCCTGAAGGCGGCCAGGATCGCGGACCGGAGAGCTGAGGACACTGCCGCCTCTTGGCCCCCGCGCCTGCCAGCTGTCAGCAGCTGTCAACGGACCCTCTCGCTCCAGCCTGCGCTCCTCCTACCGGGCCCGACCGCGGCCCGACGGTCCAGGGAGGAGCCTCCGCGGACCGCCCCCTCGCGTGCCCGCCGCCTCGGGCGCCCCGCTGCGGCAGTCGGGCCGGGTGACCTTTGGTCACCTGGCTGAGGAAGGAAGGGTAGGGACAACCCCTCCCCCGGAACAACGCGTTTCCACTGCACGCCACGCTGCCTCCGCGTCCACCATCAAAGCGCACTGGCATCCGGGTTTCAGGCACTAATTTTCACAACAACCTTGCAGGGTGGTTATTATTAGTCGCCTTTTCAGAGGAGGAACCTGCGGCTTAGAGACGTTAAATAACTTGCCCAAAGCCACACAACTAGGAAGTGGCAAAGACTAGACTCGGGGGGTTTGAACCAACCCTCCTCTCATCTCTAACTTCGACGGTTCTTCAGGCAACTTCCTCTGGGAAGCCTTCCGTGATTGCCCCATCCTTGGGTTTCTGACATCTACGGCTGTGTTCACTGCGGGTTCTCCTTACGCTGGCCCTGCAGGGCCCTCCCGCGTCTGAGTCCTCCTCTCCCACCCATCCCCTCTTCATTCAGCGTGCTCCAGCCACAGTGCTTTCTGTTTCTCTGACTTGAATATACCAAAGCTTGTTCCTGCCTCCCACTCTCTTGCATCTGTCCCGTCTGGCTGGCTCCTTGTCACATGACCTCCTTCTTGACATCCTAGCTAAAGTAACTGTGCAGTCTCTGTCACATAATGCCCCTTTATTTCCTTCCAAGCACCATCTTTCTTACATGATTATATTCATTTACTTGCTTCCTAGTTCATCAGCCATCCTCCACTAGAATTGTTAGTGTCATGAGGACAAAACCATGTTTGTCACATACCCTGCAACATCCTGAGGCTGACTTGGTGCCTGGTGCAAATTGTAGACACCCACTTATCACAGTAATCCCAAGACACACACCCTGTGATACCACAGCTGCTTCACAGTCGGGCTGGAATGAGATTGGCCCCGATCTTCTAAAACAGGAGAAGGAAGTCACCAGCTCATGACCATTTGGGATTTGGTTTGTCTGGGACTTTCCCAGCCTGGACCGTGGTCAGCTCAGCGTGCACAGTTTCTGTATCAGCCGGGAGGAGCTGTGCTCCACACTGATGTCTGCCTTCCTGAATGGGCTATGGGGTGTCAAGGTCACTTCTAGAGTTGCCAGGAAGCACTACTCACATTTAATTGGCAAAAACAAGTCCTAGGCCACTCCTAACCTCCAGGGTGCAGGAAACAGTCCCTCCTACCATGTTCCAGGAAGAAGAAATGGAGTATCTGTGACCAGGCCAAAAGACTACCCTCCATCTTAATTGTGTGTGTCTGTGTGTGTGTTTTGAGACAGTACAGACTTTCCAGGGCGGGGAATTTGCTATTACTATTGCAATGGACAATTCTGCATTCTATACTCTGAGTTTGGGGCCTCATGTGTAGGTTTCTGCAGGACTTCATTTGTGGAATAACTGAGGGTATCTATTTCATCCCCTCCCCTTCAAGGCAGAATCACGGTCTTATTCGCTGCAGTATCCCCTACTCACAGGACAGATGTGGTGTCAGCAAAGTTCAAGAAATGGTAGTTTGACAAACAAAGCAAAACAAACAGCACTCCTAAGTGCTGTTCCTTGCTCTACACCAGGCTTGGGGGTGGTCATGCTCTCTGGGCCATGGCTGTTACAGAGCTGGGCTCCTTGAAAGCAAAAAAAGAAAAAAGGGAAATCTGCAAATAACAGAAACAACACGACAGTGCTCAGCTGTCAGAAGAAAAGTCGGTGCAATTGGATAACCATCGAAGCCAAAGGAGCAGCCAGCAAGGCTGACTAGACCTCTGGGATGGGCTGGCAGAATGCCACGTGGGTTCCTTGGTCTGTACGAGGAGAGTCTTCCCAGAGGTGAAGGTCAAGTGAAAGCCCCTGAAACTTGTCCCCACCCACCTACCTCAGCCAAGATAGTAGGTAAAAAAACATCACCTAGCAGGGGAAATGCAGAGATTAGTGCTACCCATGAAGATCTAAAGCATATGGAGTTGGGGGTGGACCTCATCATATCCCTGATGAATTCATCAATCTGACCTTAAAACAATACAGAGAATGGTAGTGGACTGCTGCAGACTCAACCAAGGAGTAGCCCCAGTTGCAGCTTCCGGGCTGGCGTCCTTGCCGGCATGGGTCGGCATGGCCTCGTACCCATCCGCTGGCCTGAGATCTGACCATTTGTATGAGGAACTGTTGACATTCACAGGGAAAGACAGCCACTCACATTTATGGTCTCGCCCCTGGCCAGTGGTCCCTCTCCCACCTTTGTCATCTTATGGTCCATTGGTTTACTATATCAATGACATCCTACTAATCTGGCTGGCTGAATGAGAAGTAACAAGTAAATGAAGACCTCGGTGAGACATAGGTGCTCCAGAAGGTGGAGGATAACCCCTGTGAAGGTGTGGGTGCTCGCCACCTCAGTGGAGTCTAGCGGTCTGGGACACACCAGGACATCGCTTCCAAAGGACAAATGATTGCATCTTGCACACCCCATTGCAGGGAAGGAAGCACAATACCAGAACCTACTCTTTGGGTTCTGGGGCAGTATATTCAACACCTGAGGATTCTGCTCGGACCCATACATCTCTGGGCAACATAAAAGCTTCCAGCTTTGAGTGAGGCTCACAGCAGAAAGGGGCTGTCCCCTAGGCCACAGGAACCGTGGACCCTGTCATATTAGAGCCATATGCGGTGGGTAAAGATGCTGTGTAAAATTTATGGCAAGCCCTTGTGGGAAATCCTGCTGGATTCCAGGATAATCTGCTATGCAGCAATAGATGACTAATACAATCCCACCCACCATCTCTTCTCTGGCTTCTCCTCAGCAACTCCCAGTATCCCATCTCCTGTCCAGAGTCCTCTGTTGGTGCCTTCTATGTGCTCAGGTTTCCCAGGTCTGAGGCTTGGGCTTCTCTTCTCACTGCACTCACTCGCTGGACGGTGCAACCACTCTCAAGATAATCTACAGCCACAGCCCGAACTCTCTCTCAAGACCTGAACATTAAATGGCCTCCTGGATTATCTCCACTCAGGGCCCACGTTCAACACAGCCGGAAACAAACTTCTCCTCTTTCCCTCCTGCACTCCCCATCTCAGAGGTGGTGCCATCATCCACCTAGTCTCCCAAGCCAGAATCCCGGTGTCTTCCTGGGTGCTTCCCTTCTGCTGTCCTCAATACCCAACGCCAGTAGATTCTACCTCCTAAATGTCTCTTGGAGATTTCCAGTCCTCATGATCCCTCCTACACCTACACGGGGTTCCATCCAGAGATGCTTGTTTGCTGCACAAAACTACTGAGATCTGGGCGCCTGGGTGGCTCAGATGGTTAAGCGTCTGCCTTCGGCTCAGGTCATGATCCCAGGGTCCTGGGATCGGGTCCCACATCGGGGTCCCTGCTCCTTGGGAGCCTGCTTCTCCTTCTGCCTCTCTCTCTCTCTCTCTGTCTCTCATGAATAAATAAATAAAATCTTTAAAAAAAAAAAAAAAAACTACTGAGGGCTGACCGACCTCCAGTCCTGCCCTGCTCACCAAGGGACCTGCCCTAACCTGAGGTGCTTGTATAATTGGAGAAAGAACAGCAGCAACAGCCTCCAGCTTGGTTCAATCCACCACCACCCAGGAGCAGCCTGAGGGATTCCCCCTTCCTGGGCATCACAAGCTGTTTAACCAAAACTACAGAATTGCTTAGAGATCCCCGTTGTGCCATGCCCTCTACATCTTTACAAATGACGTTCTTTCTATCTTGAACGCCTCCGCATCTTTGCTTTCCTCGGTGAAAATAACTCCTACTAAAACATCAAATTGTGGCCTTCTACAATCCTGGAGCTGTCTGGGTGCTCTAAGTATTCAACCTGAGAGCTTTGGGAGTAGTTGAAAGAGAACTTCTGCTCACGAGACCTCAGAAAACAGTCCTCAGTTGCCTCATCTGTAAAACAGCCACAGGGCGAGCGAGGTCACGCAGGCGGCAGGTGGGGCTGGTCCCCACTGCCCCCACCCGCAGCTCCAGCTCCCACCCCTTTGCTGGAGGTCAAAGCCGCCCTGCGCCCGGGTGCTCGCCAGGCCGGCGGGCGGGGCGCCTCAGAGGCGTGGGCGTGGCCTCCTTCTTTGGCCCGCCCCCCGGACACGCAGATGGGGCCTACGTCATGACGCAGTGTTCCTTCAGACGCTTCCCGGGCCCGGGAGGGTCACGTGAGCCGGTTTTCGCGCGAAAACTAGTTGCTGGAGTGGCGGCGGGGAGTGTGGAGCTGTGATGGCGGTGAGGGCGCGGGTGTTCCCCGGCGGCCTGCGCGTCTGCCGTGCGGGAGGGAGGCGCGGGCGTGGGGCGCGGGCGGGTGGTCCCGGCGAGCCAGCATGTCAGCGTGGGCCGGGGGCGCGGGCGGTGCGGGCGCGCTCGGGGACCTGGGGCGAGAGGCCGCGCACTTCGAGTCCTCAGGCCCTCGCCCCGCTCCGCCGCGGCCGGATCGGGCCTCCAGATGGGGTTGGGTCCCCGGGCTCTGGTTTGGAGCTGATTTCTCCCCTTTACTCCTTCCTTGCGGGGTCTGCAAAGCCAGCGGGCCCCACGCCGCCCCAGTCCCCCTGGGGATGCCTCCTCCCGCACCAAGCTGGGAGCTCGAATTCCCTAACCCGAGCTTAGTGGCCTACCCGACCACCATCATTTACTTTACTCCGCACCTGCTTGTGGGGCGCCCTCTCTATGCCTGGCGCCGGGAGTACACAAGACAGATAAGGCCCCGCATCTTCGTGCACATATTATTGTAGTGTTTTTTTGTCTCTTTGTCTTATTTATTGTCTGTTCTCTCCACCAATCTGTAAATTCCGGATCGCTATGTTTTGGTCACTCTCATGTTCTGTCTCCTGCCTCAGTGTCTTGCATATTGTGGGTGGGAAGCCATGCTCACAGGAGAGGAATGTGGGAAGAGTAGAGAAACGGGTCCATAAACGAATGAGGTATCCTTAGTGACTTGTCATGGAGAAAACACAGGGAAATGTCAGTGCCTGGAGTATTTGAGGATGTGAT